CGATGAGCTTTGTAAAAATCGATGCGTTTCAGAAAGGCGGGGCATAGAGGAGAAACAATAATGTACATTATGTGGAAAATAATGTGTTTTTTCAACCTTAAACCGCATAAACATTTTCTTTTTAGCAACGTCATATGACTCCTTTAAAAAGAAGGTGCCAGTAAGAACCAAAAAGGAGGTTTCGCGGTGATGCCATATAGGAACCTTTTTTGGCAGGTTAATGTCAGTATCCCCATCATCCACTACTATGCCCTTTTTCATCCCGTGAAAGAGTTCCCGCTTTCACAGTCCTTCTGATGAATGGTTGAGGCTGGATACAATAGATCCTGTAAAAAAAAAACACTTTCATTAGTTTCTTAATTTTTATAGGTTTAGCACAGGTATAATGAGGCAAAATGACAAACAACGATAATGGAAAGGTATTTTTAAGCTGAACAGCAGTCAGAATAGAAACAAAATCAAAGCAAGTCAAAGTATTTTGGAAGTTCATCCATCCATCTATTCACTCTCCAAACCACTTATCCTCTTTAGGGTTGCGGGGGCTGAATCTATCCCAGGATCTTGGGCCACAAATCCATCCATTTAATGGTATTTAAGCAATATAGTAACAATGTTATACAGTACCTGTCAAAGTTTTGGAAACATTAGTGTTTTTGGGAAAAACATCTCTTCTGCTCACTAACACCGTGTCTACACCGGACGCAAGCGGCGCGGCAAAATACTATAGAACTCATTATAATCAGTGATGCTGTCTACACTGGATGCGGCGTGGCGCGGTGCAGCGCAACACGACAAATCCCAGACAGAAAACTGCTGCTGTGTTTTATTTGTGAAGTATTGACACAAATTTCAAGTGATTTTCAGCGGTCGCTTTGTCCAGTGTAGACAGACTTTAGCTGTTGCGGCGCGACAACTGTCGCGTCCGGTGTAGACACGGTGTAAGTCTGCATTTATTTTATCAAGAATACAGAGAAAATAGTAATATTGCAAAATACAGTTTTGTATTGAAAACGGCACCCCCCGCCCCCCTTGAAGGTCAAGTTCATTTTATTTTCTCTATAGCGCCAGATCACAACAGAAGTCATTTAAAGTTACCTTTCCTATAGAACAGGTATATACCTTGTTCTTTTATTAAACAAACTAATGCTCGTGTCATTTGAGTAAAACAAGGTATTCACGGCAACCCATCAAAATAACATTTCGGTTTAATTTGAAGGCATTGCGGCAAAAAAATATATAGGCTATTACTATTGTTCAGTAGAATGTAATAGGCTACTACTAAAATTAAAACCTTATTTTTAAGGAATAATCATACAATATTTCTTTAATGTTTTAATTGTAATATTAAATCCCCTTTATTTTCCAAAAATACAATATTTAATTTTCATTAATTAAAAGATAAATTAAATTACTGTTTTATGCCTTAAAAAATTTAAATACACAACACAGAATTTCTGAGGGAAAAAATCATTAGGCTATTGTAAGAATAAATGAAACTCGTTTTTATGCTTTCAAATAATTAGACATGTTAAAACACAGAATTTGGTTTCAATAAAACATAAGGTTGGAAAAAATAAAACATTTCATAGGGCCCTAAACATGCCATTTTTGTTAAACTTTTGATAAATTGATGTTAAATTGTTTAAGTTTCATGATTGTAATTAATTAGACATGTTTTTGATTACTCAAATTTAATTTAACCATTAAAAAGGAGTCCAGAAAAAAAAAACCCAGTGTGTGCTGTATGTAAAAATCAGTGTTACCTTTATTTGAAAAAATCTGCTTCCAAATGCACTCAAACCTCTCGGAACACTGAGTGCCCTGTTGGTTACAGTGTTTACTTTTGAATTATATTTTTATTAAATGTTTATTTATTTGTGAAAAATACTAAGTATGTATAAGTTTATTTTACACATTTATTTTTTTAACCCACTTTCAAATTATTTAAAATTTCTTAAATATTAATTAAAATAAAATTATAATTAAAATAAAATTATATCAGCTTCATATCGGCCACCCTGCTTTCCAAGATATCGGCATCGGCTGTCAAAAAACCAATATCGGACGACCACTAATCAAA